CATATGTATGTACTAAACAGCAACAAATTGTCTTTAGATTTCAATTCAATTCCCAAAATAAATGCAAATATATATTTGTAATTTAATATATTGCTGGCATAACTTTTGAATTTGAAATTCACTGGAAAAAAATCGTATTTTGCTAAAGTTAGCGAAATAAATGTTGTGAGTTGATTAGAAACTCTTGACAGCGTATGCCACATATTGTGATTTATTTCAATACAATCACTCATTCATATTCATGTGAATTTCTTTATAATATGATTTGTGTTTCAGCTACCATCTTACATCATGTATTTGATTTATAATAAATATAAGAAAATATTAATATTTAATAGACACGTACAGTTCTTGTCATTGTGTGTGTCTTAACGTATGTATGTGTTTGTTTTATAAAAAAGTATTCGAGTTACTTTTTTATTGTTATTCAGTATGTTGTTTGTGCTTGTAAACGTATTTTGTTAATTCATATGAGTGTTGACAGACGTTTTTTTTCCAACCTGTGATAAAAATAACAAAAATATTCAGACCTGATATCCTTAGAGTATATAAATAAAAATATGTATAGGCATAAGAGATTTTATCACCCAAAAATATATATGTTCTCATGTGAAATTCCCCTATGGACCATATTATTCAAAAGGTTTTTTGATATATAACACTTGACAAAATGTAGGACTAAATATGAATTTCTTTTCATCAGATATAATTTAAGAAATTAAACATTTTTTATTTAAAGTATTTATTTTAAAATTTAGACTCGATTATATCAATTTTTTAATAACCTTTTTAAAATTTGATACCAAGCACTAACCCACTTTCAAAATACCTCTTGTATACTTAAGCTCTGTCTTATTTAAAAACACTTATTAGAACATAAAATTAAATATTTTGTGTAAACTTCTTCACACCTTTAAGTAAAATGAACTAAAATATAACTTACATTCCCTTTACTCAATAGCTCTTTAAACTAATTTTTATTTGAATAAAATTAAATATTAATTTGAATAAACTTACAAATAACTTTAACTTTTCTCTAGCTGGCTTACTTTGAATATATGTTAGTTCGTAGAATATCAATGAGTATGTATTGCAAAACCACTTTTTTACATAAACACACACACATACATGCACAAAGTTACAGAAACAATACATCTTTTTCCTTTTTGTTTAGTAGTAATCATTACAGATTTTGTTTTTTTCTGCTTTTCAAACTTTTCCACAACAACTGTGTATTGAAACGTATAAATAAAATGAGTTCGTTTTATTATTTACTGCGATTATTATACCCTACACCACTGCAGTGTGGATGGTATTATGACTTTTTGCTGATGTTCGTAACAAAAAAAAACAAAAATATTGGTCCTAGACCCACCTTAAAGTATACCATTTGGCTCAGAATCCCTTTTTGTGTCGATTTAGCTTTGTCCGTCCGTCTGTCTGTCAGTCTGTCTGTCCATCTGTGTGTCCATGTAAACCTTGTGCGCACGCTACAGGTCGCAATTTTCAAGATAATTTGATGAAATGTGGCACACAAACAAGGACCAAGTCTATTCAAAATGGTTGAAATCGGTCTATTATTTTGCCTAGCCCCATATAACCCCATAAAATGAATAAGGCTTTTGAGCTCATACGTATGTTAAATGTGGAATCTCTAAAAAAAAATCGTCAAATCGTACTGCCGATTTTCGTAATGATAGGGCCTCATTTTATCCAAGACCCCATACAAAGTACCCTTCAGAAAAATACTTGAAGGTGGAAAATATCACATTAAAATTCTGCATAAATAACTTTAATGTCATAGTAAATCGCTCTACCAAAATTTATACTCACTGGTGTAGGGTATCATATAGTCGACCATGCCCGACTATACATTCTTACTTGTTTTATTTTGTTTTTTGATTTTCAGTTTATTTATTGCTTGACATTTGTGCGCTCAATTGATTTTCAATCATAGTATTTTGCCTTTTTCTTTACAAATCTAGTCTCTCAATAAATGGGTGTAGTAATGTAACTGTAGTTGTATTTATATTTGTACCTATAAAGCTGCCTTTACAAACATTTTAGTACTAGTTTACGATATCTCGTTTGTCTTTTCAGTTGTTTTTTTTTTTTTTTGCATTTTAACTTCATGTAGTGGTTGTTGGTGTTAATGATAAGTAAAGGCAAAAAAATTTTCTAGGTTTATGTATTACCAATACATATAAATCGGAAATATATACAAATACTTTTACTTTGTTAGTTGTTGCTGCCCCCATAATATTAATGCTAATTGTGGTATGACATGCAATCATCACGATGGTTGTCATTGTCATCAGGATGAGAGCTGCCTGCTGGAATGTTTAGCTGTTCGTTTTTTTTTTTTTCTATCCTTATTTTTAATTAATGTCAATGCTATTGTAAATGTTTTCACTTTTGTTTTTAAATGTGGTTTGTTTTTGAATTTATTTATACAAAAATAATGTTTATAGTTTTGTAGAGATAGTAGATAAACAAACCTATAAATTGTTGAGTATTTTTTGTATATTTTTTGTCTAAATAGCAAAGTAATTAATATCCTGGTAAAAACGTTGAAATATATTTTATCAGTTATTTGTTACAATAAATTAACCGCTTAAATGGATTTTTGTTGTTGCCCTTGCTAGGTTTTCTTTACAAAATGTATGTAATTAATATTTATTTAATTCAAATTATATAATAATTTATTTCAATCATTAACGCGTGTTATTATTTATGTGTAAATATAAAGCAAAAAGTGTTTCGATAATGTTAAACTAGGGAATAAAATATGTATTTGGTAATTTTAGGTCAAAGAGTAAATTAATAACTTGTGATTTAGTTTAATTAAATATAATTTAAATAATCAAATAATGATAAATGAAATATATGTTTATTTTTATTATAGTTAGTTAGTTTGAAAGGAGGATGTATATACATCAAATCCGAAGAAATACACCTAGGCCTCAATAGAGTCTATAGTGGCCAGTGAAACTAGTTGAAATTCGATCAATATTTCATCAAACACCTCTAAAAATATAAACCAAACTTGTATATTAAACTTAATTTTCTTTACAAACCCCTTATAATACTACAGTGCGTATGAAATATTTTCTTATCAAATTAAATATTATTCATACGCCTTCATAATTTTAAATAAACAAATATTTTTATGACTCTTAATTCTTCAACTTCAACATTGTTTCTTACAATTTGTGTTATTTATATACTACCAGTTATTTACACTGCTTAAGCTTAAATACCCTTAAGAATCTTTATCACATTTTTCTTATTTATTGTCGGCTAAAAGCCTGAAGCGTTTAATGTCAAACACTTGACTTTAACAGAAAATGCAAAAGTAAATAAACTCAAATTTCAACGAAGCTTCTATAGGCTTACAAACAACAATATACATTTTTTTCCAGCTTCAAATTCTCCACATTTGTTGTATTTCTTTAAATATATTTAACCGGGAAAAAAAGAAAATTTCTGTTTTCTTCTCTTCATATTTTGTTTTATTATTTTTATTTTATTTTTTGAAACATTATTTACTTAGTTGTTGGCTGGGTTGTTGGTTCGTTGGCTGACTGTTTTGTTGGTGTTAATAAAAAAATCAACACTTGGCATTAACATGCAAGTGGCACTCTAGAGACATTTACTTTTAAAATGTTCTGCCACCATCTCAGCAGCTCTAATGTAGTTTTGAGCTGTTTTGAGGAACAAGAAAAAACTTTGTTACACTTTCTGCTTTTTTGTTGAACAATTAACTTAAGTTAACTTTTAATTTTATTTTGATTTTTTTGCTTTGTTCGCATTTTTTTGTATTGTTATGTGTGTGTAATAACCACAGTGGTGTAATAATTTTGACAAACAACCATATGATTTTGTGGGTGTTACAAGTTTTATGTTTAATTTTTGAGGGAGTCTCATTGCTTAAGGAGTTTATAAGTGCAGGGGACCGTATTGTTTAAGTTTATTAGGTTTTATATATTTTTGCTGCTTTTACTGATTTCAATGTAAGTGATAAAAGTTTAAATAAAGTTATAACCATGATTAATTGTTTAAAAAAACAAAAGAATAAAGTTTTTCTTTAAATAAGTTGAAAAAACTTGAATTTTATTATAATTTAACCTCATAATTTTGGTAAAAAAAGTTTTGAAGTTTCATGATATTTAATATGTCTGCATATTGTGACTTGTGTAATAAGTGATATACAATAAAATTGATTATCAAAATGGTTTGAGGTTTTACATGAACGGAACCTTTTACCAAAACATTTAAGAGTCTTCTTTTGGTAAAATGCTGCCTTGTTTTGTCTCCTTAAAATTTTATTTGTTTTGGCTCAGAGTGCGGATTTTGTCATTAAGTTAGTAATTTTCACAATATAATTTTTACCCTATAAAGTACTTTGGGTCCACAAAGATAGTGGAGTCGCTTAGTCGGTCCGTCTGTCTGTATGTATGTCTATATGTCAGTATGTCTGTATGTCTGTCTGTCTGTCTGTCTGTCTGTCTGTCTGTCTGTCTGTCTGCATGTCTGTCTGTCTCTCTGTCAGTCTGTCTGTCTGTCTGTCTGTCTGTCTGTCTGTCTGTCTGTCTGTCTGTCAGTCTGTCAGTCTGTCAGTCTGTCAGTCTGTCAGTCTGTCAGTCTGTCAGTCTGTCTGTCTGTCTGTCTGTCTGTCTGTCTGTCTGTCTGTCTGTCTGTCTGTCTGTCTGTCTGTCTGTCTGTCTGTCTATCTGTTCATCTCAATTTTCTAAAGACCTTATTGTATCTTCGCGATCCAAACTTTAATAATTCTGTTAGCGTTACTTTCGTGAAGTCAGTTCAAATAGGATACAGAAATTTCAACACAAACAACATAATATGGTAAACCATAACTTACATGCAATATTTATGTATGTATGTATGTACAAAATCTTTTATATAACTCATACATCTTACAAACATAATATTAACATTTAAATTAATTTACTTAAAATTCCATTCCATTTCGTTTTTTTCAGACATATCATTAGCTCTACGTGATGTACGCGTACAAATACCACATGCTGTCAGAAAGGGAGAAAAGGCCATACTTAAGTGTCTGTATGATTTGGAAGGTGACAGTCTCTATTCAGTTAAATGGTATAAAGGACGAAGAGAATTTTATAGTTTTACCCCCAAAGAAACACCAGCTATGAAAGTTTTTCAATTCGCTGGCGTAAAAATTGATGTAAGTATTGGTAGAACTTCAAATGTAGTGTAACGAACAACAACAACAAAAAATAAACCATTTAAAATGTGCTTAAATATTAAGTACCAAAAACTTTTGCTAATAATAGTCAAACATTAGAAATATTTAAGGCTATGAACAAATATTCAAAATATTTAGCATATTTTTGAGCGGCAAATGGAGGTTATTATACAAAAAGACGAAAGAAATAGAGAAAAAACTTTAGCTTTAGCCTAGTGGGGAGTCTTTCCTAACAGTTGTATGTGAAAGAAAAAAAAGACAATACTAAATATTCATTTGCACATTCAATGACCAAAAGTATTTAAACTATTTTTTTCTTGCTTTTTTACTTTTAATAGCTGTCACTTAAGTATTTGCTGGAAGGGTATGTTTTCCTTTGTTTCTAGCCGAGCAGAGACACAGATACACACAGATGGTACTTGTAGTTATTAACATTACTTTTATTCAACTGCCTTCATTTTCTTGAATAAAACTCTAGATTTTGTATTCTGCACAATTGTAGTTATTTGAATTAGAAAATTTACTGAATACCAGGCAAAGTTGTATAGAAATTGTAATGCCTTACACAAGGGCAAAATATTTTCTAAGTTATTCATTTAATATGACTTTATCATTATGAAAATAACCTACTCATAAATTAAACTTGTATTAATTCTTCTAGAATTTTTTCTCATATATGATAAACTAATATATGCATATATTTCTCAAAATACAAAATTTATCCATTTCAATGAATTAATTTATGTTGTTATATAACTGTACTTGTCTCTAGAGTATCAACTCTTAGGATAAACTTTATAAACACACATTTTTTGTTGCAGCGCACCACCCAACACAACCATCATAATTAAATTTTACAGTGGTTTTAGTTTGATTGTTGAATTTTTATGTTTGTTACGACTTTCGTATAATTGAAATCATTTCTTGGCCCATGAATATTAATTGAGTTTTTGTTGGTGACAATGATTGGGGCAACCAAGTTGGCTTTAAGACTAAATGTAAATATTTGAAATATTTAAGAAAAATAGAACAATTTTCATATTGGTTTTGTGAATAGAATGCAGGATATTTAAGTAAAATTTAAAATGAGAGCATTAATTTTAGATGGATTATTTGTGAGGCATTAAATAAGAAAATTTCTTAAAAATAAATTTAAGAGTTTTGATATTATTTTTTAAAAATTTCCCTAGTATTTATATATTCTATGCAACAACATCGAAGTTAAAAAGTTTCTGCCATATCGACATTTCAATATTAAAATTAGCAGCTGAATTAAACCAGAAGAAATGGTCTTAAATTATACTTCAATCGTCATTGTATAAATTTTCGTATTAGAAACATAACGAAATTAAATTAAACATTTTTATATTACGAAAAATTTAAATAATTTTTTAAAAATAAAATGTATTATTAATATATAAGAGGTTAAAGGTAGGTATTCAAATTTCATTGGATTGACAATTTCTTTCAATACGTTTAATTTACATCATAATTATCTACAAATGTATAATTTTCTTTTAATTAATACACTTGCTTTAAAATATAAAAATCGAGAAGATGAATATAAGAAATTTAAAAAAAAATAAGTTTTATATACTAAAGAAAATTAATTTTAAACTTTTTTATCTGTAGCTGAATGATATGAATGAAGTCCCCATAATAAAAAGTGTCTTTGATATCCTCTGAGTATATTCTTTCATTAAATATTTCATAATGCAAACTACAAGTCTTAAACTTTTGATTCTTTCAGTATTTTACTCTTTAGAGATTTGTATATAACACATACATACAAACATATTTATACATAAGCAAAAGTTCCATGTCTATTTAATAGTTTTTTTTTCCTAACATTTTTCGGTTTATAAAAGTTCATTCCAACAGATTTGCACTTCCGACTCTTAAATGCTGTTTGCTCTATGTTAGTTTTACCACTAGTTTTTATTTTTTATAGTTCCTATTAGTTTTTTTTTTTTTCTGGGTTTTTGTTACTGTCCTAGAGTTGTTGATTTTGTTTTTAACAAAAATTCAAAATAACTAAAAACAAACTTTATGCTCAAAAGATTTTTGTTTTTATAATAGTTTAAATGTCCAGAAAATTAGCAAATTTGAATATTTATACTTGTGTGCGAATAAAACTACAAACACACAAATTAGCAAACTAATATACATATATATCAAGCAGTTTTACAAAGAAGCTAATGTATCCTTTTTATATAGTATTTTTCTGATATGTCAATTTAATTAGGAAACTAGAAGATATTGTATATATACACACACATAAGAGTCAAATGAACCAAATTTTATGGCAAGAGGAAGTTATTTTACTGATTCTGTGTAATGCATAGAGTAGTTTCTTTAAACATATTTAATATATTGCTTTTTAGAAAGTAGTTATTTAACACATCACAATTTGCAATTGCCAAATCTAATTGAAGTTAAGATTTTATTACACTAAGATTTTATTGCAATAAAACTCTTCCTCGGAACAGCCACTCCGAACTGCAGGTTATGCACATAAATACGTTTGTGTGTATTTAGAGTATTTTATAATTTCATATTTTAGACCATAATGAACTAATAACACAAGAACAAAAACTACACACATACTGACATAGATCCAAACAACAAAGTTTTACACTGGAGTTGTGTAATTCATTTGTTTTCACAAAACTTGTGACTCAGCAGGAAATATGTGTTTAGTATTCAACAAACACACTTATTCCTCAAAAAAAAGAACAACGAGTGATTATCAAATGGATATTAAAACATTATGAAAAGGAAGTCCCTACGAAATAGAAGAAGAAGAAGACCAAGTTGCCTACTTATGGAACTTATACTTGTGGAGTTTCAACTTTATTACTACTAATAGTAGTGTCGTAAAGATATTTCAACAAATACATACATTTTATTACAAATACTAAAATAGATTCGACCTAAAAACATTTACAACAATTTTATAATTATTTACATTGTACCGAAAGGAAAGGAATAAGTTTTTCTTTCTTATTTTGCATAATCAGTAGTAAATTAGAGATAATGAATTAACTTTAGGAGCAGGTAAAATTACATTGAATTTCAAAATAACTGAAATTATTAGTAAACTAATGATGAAAAAATAAATTAATTTTTGTTTTTTTTTTTAAAGCAGTAAATTAATTAGACCAATATATAAATATTTACTTAAATAATATTTACATTAAATGAAACCATGTAAATTTACTACATTTTTTAAAAAATTCTAGTAAACATGTCATAACAAATTGTTAAATAAATATTTCACTGATTGTTAGCTGACCCGAATGTTACAGTTTTGAAATCTTTTCATAAATACCAAAAATGCATTACACAAATTCTAACTACACCTTCAACAACAAAAACAAATATACATTTGAGTGGAGACCAGCAACATTTAACAATAACAATGGCCATATAATACATACATGCAAATAATATTAAATCAGTTGCTTAAACTCACACGTATACAACCAAAACCGGAAAAATTAACCTTTAGTTCGGAGTAGATATCCCAAACTAGTCCTAGACAAGCAACCTAGTAATTGTTCTAGCAGGAAATCAAGAGTTTTCTTCTTCCCTATTTATATTCTAAGGATCACTAAAATTACGATTGACTATTTCTTTGAAAACTTGAGGACTGATTAAATTAACCATAGACATTATTTGAGAAATATCAAAAAGGTCCATATATCCTTTAGTAAAACTACTGGGTAAGTGATAAATTCATACCTTAAAACCGACTAACAAATAGAAAAATGTATAAAACAGAAAGTAATATTTATTTTACAAAACTATTTGTGCATTTTTCACACTACAACAAACACATGCATATTTCCACACAAAACAACAGTGGACGGATTTAAGGAAGTAAACAACAATCCAACTCCAACCCAACAAACATGCAATTTTTTTTTTACAACTATTTTAGTGAGGCGCCAACTATTCTGTATACAAAAATACAAATCTTATAGCAAATTCTCGTACTCGTAAACAAAATACTAAAAAATTCTATGGGAAAAAGTTTTGGCAAAAAAAAAAAAAACAAACAACCAGAAAAATATTGAAGCATACATTTTGCAGGTAGTAACAATATTTTTTTGTTAACTTTTTTGATTTCACAAAAAAGAGCTCTCTACTTACAATTGTACAAATACAAGTTTGCTGGAGAGAAAAAGAGAAAAAGAAACATAAAATGAAAAAATGAATATATAAATGTTATAAAGTAAATATAAGTAAATATTACTAGAATGGCGTTTACTTAGTTTTCAGGTTTTAAACCATAACTAAAAATTTTTGATTTTGAAAATTTTGTTCAATATATAACACACATTTTAGGTTTCTTTAGAAATTGCTAAAATATTTTATAGATTTATCTTGAATATTGTTTGCTTTCAAAATCAGTGCCATATTATTTTTTTTCATACAAAAGTCATTCAAAACATTTTTTGCTCAACATCATTAAGTATTGTAACACTTTCTTATGGATATATACTAATACAATAGAGTAGTTTTTATGTAAGAGTTTTTATGCCTTAGAATCCTTAAGGGCATTTGCCATTAACAAATAGCAAAAACACTTGGAAGTTTGTCTTAGTAAATATATGCCTAAATTCACACAGGAAATATTTACTAAAATTTTGAAACATTTGAAATAGGGTTAACGTTTTCAAAAGATTATTTAGACGAAAATAGTTAGCACTGAAATTAGTAAAAAATTAGTTTATAGCTAAAAATATATTTTTTACTTAGTGAAAACCCGTTTAGCTACAGAAACTCGTATTTTCCGGAGGATATAGCCATTACCAAACTTTCGTCAATACTATATTCCAATAACAGCACAGCTTTGTTATTGCAGATATAACATACCTAAGAAACAATAATTGGGAAATGCTAAGGAACTATTTACTTCTAGGAAACTCCGTTCATAAATATTGAACAATAATTCTTTCCTTTTATTGTAAATCGTTTTTTTAAGAAAAACTCGAAAACTTTGCATAAAACGCACGAAGTAGTCATGTGGTGAAGTACATCACACCCCTCTTAGCTATCATTTCCACATCTGTAGGATTTTCAGATACTCCTCTTATTTCAAAAAGTAAATTTAGTTGCCTCATAATTTTGACTACATTGATGACTAAATTTATTCTAATTTAAAATATTCTGACCACTTTTAGATCACTACAGGTATTTCAATTTTGAAGTAATTTAAACTTGTTTTATAGAAAGTCATTTTGAACAAACCGAAGATAAATATGTCTCAAGTTAAGTACAGTTTACTGAAATACGAAGGTATTTCTTTTTAAAAATCTGTTAATACCTTGAATAATACTACAGCAGCAAATTATCCATCCCTACCCTACCCTAAATACTTTTTCATTTTCTTTCTCAAAACACCCAAATTTCACAATATCAGTACTTTCCTTTCAAAAACACTTAGACTTAAATGCCTGTTAAATATTCACACCTTCCGAGGCTTAAAATTTTGTAATAGCACAAAAAAAAACAGGCAGCTACGAAAAGCGGTTTCGATATAAAACTTTAAAAACTAAACCATATAGAGCAAGAGGCTATAATTCAAATAAAACACATACGTGTTAGTTTAACTTATTTTTATTTTTTTATTTTTCATACCTACACGATGTAAAAACTAGTCATTTAAAATTTGCTTACAAATTCAGCTGCAACTACAATTCGTAGGAGAAAAAAAACCCGAAACCAAAATCTGCATTGTCAGCAAGCAAATTGTTGCTTAAATGTTGGCTATAAGTAACCAGAAAGGAAACTGAAAATACCAGGATTCAAACAGGAACCAGAAAAAAAGTATTCTTGTATTAGATATTTTTTGCAAAAACAAGTTTAAGGCGAACCAGTGCTAATGCCGGCATAATATTTTCCTGCGGTAAATGCACGTTTCAGCCATGTACACACATACAACAACCAAAAAAATAATAAAATCTCAAGAAACTATAAACTATTTTTTATGAGTGTGTGTATGGTTTTTACAAGTTTGAGTTTTTTGGGGCTGTTATATTTTTCATACAATTTTAATATTTAAAAAAAATAATTTTTAGCAAATTTTGCAGTTTTTTACATGAATGTATGATGGTAGTGGAGGTGTGTTTATACACATTTTCATGTAATTGTATGATAAACGATAAAAGTATGTGTGAGTTATTTATGTATGTATGTGGGTGAGAGTGTGTTTCCTGCTACATGCATGTGTCTATGCATTTTTAATGTGATTCAGCAGTGTTTAGGGTGTTTAAATGTTTTCTACTTGTAGAAAAAAAATAACAAAAAAATATTTAATAAAGATTTATGTTATTAAAACTTGATAATTTTCTAAGGAATTTTTGTAATAAATTCAGAAAATGTTTGTCTAAGTGAAAATATTTTAATAATTGATAAAATGCTCAAGGTTAAATTTTACAAATTAAATGTTGACTTTTGTAAAAAGAAAGAAATTAATTAATTAAACTGTTTTAGTATATGTTTTTGTAGATAAGAATATTAGTTATAATTTTAAATTAACTTTATCACTTTTTTATAGCGCTCTTCTTCTAATGAAAGTCAATTGGTGTTAGAAACTGTTAATGCTGCGACTTCTGGAAAATACAGCTGTGAAGTTTCAGCCGATGCTCCCTCTTTTCATACACTAATTGGTGCCGGAGAACTTGAAGTAGTGGGTAAGTAACGTTAAAATTAATTGAAAAACTTCAGCTTAATATAACTTAATATTAAAACAAATATACACAATTCAAAATGATAATAAAGAAATCTGAGGTTTTTTCGAAAAAAATTATGTTTTTTCTTAAAATGCAATTTCTATTCAAGATTTTGACCATACTGTTACATGTAGTATAGTATGATCATGTTACATTTAATGTTAAAACTAAAATCTGACATGTTTAAATGAAACTAAAACAAACAACAGAAAGCCATTAAAAGCAGCTTTCATACATGTTGGGGTTTTAGAAGAATAAATTCTATCGATAATAACAGAAAAAAAACTAAAAAAATTCCTAAAAATCTTTTCGAAAGTTCAATTTTATTTAAGCAAACATGTTATTGTTAGTATGTGAGAGTGTGTATGTGTGTTTTTTCATATCCTCACATACACATCTTTCATTTTAGTCATTGTGGTGTTAAAAAATTGCAAAAAAATATAAAAGTTTTTTCACTCTATTTCTTTTTGGCTAAAAATGTTTACTATGCTAAACTAGGTTAATGTCATGTTATTGACAATCATTGGCAACGACAGACACAATTTTAAAATTTGGTGATGAAAAGAAACATTGAGTGGAGAAAAATCTTAACATAAAAACTATATTTTTTTCTATCTGTCTTGCAGTTTTAATTTCATACATTGCATAAATTCTCTAGCAGTTAAATGATGAAAAAATCGTAGTGTGGTCTTTGAAAATTTTATGTTTTTGATGTTTTTGATATGAAAATAATAGGTTCAATTTTTGAAAGAAAATCCTACACTTGGAGTTTTATAAACACACACACGTTGTCAGATAGTGTTTTTAAATAATCGTAAATAATGAGTTCTTTAATTATATTATGCTCAATACATTTAACATTGATATTGAAAAAACTTTATATTGAGATCTCAGTATTTCATCAACACACATGAAGTTTTTACGTTACCCCTCATGTTTATAAAAATATTTCAACTTGATAACCACTTATTTATTTTACAATTTCCATGGGTTTGGACCCATGCCCTTGACCCTTTGAACAATACATAGACGATCCACCAATGTCCTTCCCTATGTCCGTTAAAAAACTAAAAAATTTTATTTATGGTTTGTTTCCATCCGTGATTTCAGATTTTAACTCTTACAAATATTGTATATAATAAAAACAAAACAACAAGAATATATGCTATATATCGTTGTTGTTTTTAGCCTCTAACATCTTCACAGATTCATACTTTTCCCACTATAATAGTGCAATATAACATACATAATTACAATTTTAACTAGCAGAAAAAAATCATAAAACTCCAGATTCCAATAAAATCCTTTTTAAACCTCATTAACATCAATATAATGTAAGACCAGAAGAAACACATGTCACCCAATAAAACGACAAAAAACTAAAGTAATTTTTGCAATAGTAATGCATACAATGTAAATGACAGAAAATGAGCAAATAAAAATACTTCTTAACATACCTGAATAACAGATGAAATTCTAATACGCAATAATGGTAGAATGACGCTCCATATCTCGCACCCTCTCCATTCCATTGTGCCATACCGGCAGGATGTCTGGCTGCAGTTGAACAATTTAATTGTCTACATACCGTAAACATTCTACAGCAAATATTGGCACTTTTATTTACGTACTATTCAAATAGTTTTGGCTGGTCTAATGGTATCTACAAATAAAAGGTATTTCCAGAAGAAAAGAAGATAAACGAAAAAAAAACTATTAAGATTTTATGGTAAAAAAGAAAAAGCACAAGCATGATGTCATGCTTGAGGTGTTTGTCAGTAATATTTTGTTAACATCCGTAATGGTGTGTTTATAAGTGTGAAATGTGCAGAATGTATGGCGAAAAGCACTTTATTTAGAAATAATTAAGCTGGAGTAATGAAAATTGAAGTGCCATGTTTTCTATATAGTTTTCTTTTGAGCCATAGAAATAATACAAAGCAAGTAAGATTGTATAGTCGGGCATGGCCGACTATATGATACCCTACCTTAACTCCGAAATATTTTAACAATTTGTTGACTAAAAAGGAGATTTTCTAGAAGAAGGTTTATATGGTGTAAGGGCATATCCTTATAAATTTATGTAAATGAATTTACGTATATTTTAAAGTTATTTATGAGGAATTTCATCGTGTTGTTGGTGTTTATAAGTGAATTTTGACCTTCAAGTAATTTTCTGAAGGCGAATTAGTACGGAGGTAGGTTCAAATGAAGCCCGATCATCTCGAAAATCGGCACTGAAATCTTTATAAAAAAACTAAATTTTGCCGATTTTTGTACTAGAACATTAAATCGAAATAATGGACCAATTTTAACCATTTTTCTATAAGCTTGTCCTTGAGTCAAAAGACGAGTATGTGTCAAATTTCATCAAATTGTCTAGAAAATTGCGACCTGTAGCGTGCGCACAAGTTTTACATGGACACATAGACGGACAGACAGACAGACAGACAGACAGACAGACAGACAGACAGACAGACGGACAGACAGACAGACAGACAGACAGGCAGAAAGACAGGCAGACAAACAGACAGACTGACAGGCAGACAAACAGAGAGACAGACATTTTCATTCTTACAAATATATTGAAAACAACAAATAAATTTAAAATTTTGTTTTTGTTTTCAATATATTTATAAGAAAGAAAATGTTGTTTCGACATTGTGAAACAAGCAGTATGTTGTTTATTGTTTTAATTACATTGATAACTTTATAAAATAAAAATTAAAATTTTTTAAAAATAATAACATTTTGTTGTTAAGGATTATTTCACCAAATAAATACATTTATGTTTATAAAAGCATAGTCAATGACTACGATTTTAAATTCACTTCTGAAAACTTTTTTATTTAATTATCTCTAATAACTCAAAAAATGCTCTAAACAAATGTACTGCGAGTTTTAAAAATGTGTTAAAACAAATGTTTTTTAAACGACAACAACAAGAAAAAAGTAAATAAAATTTATAACTGCAGATAATTTAAATAATTTCAATTTTATTTAATAAACAAAAACATTCAACACTTCATAAAAACATAAACTGTAGAATATAAATAAAATTAACACTTGCATGTGAAGGTTGAACATTAATTTTAAAACAAACATTAAAATGCCATAAAAAAGTTTAGTGGGAAATTAATGAAGATATAAAGGAGCAACAAATTTGAATACAATTTAAGCAGAATTTGTAATACCCTTCATCGGGCACAAATATTGGATACAATTTATTAAATCCTTTCGAATATTTCCTACAGTTTGGTTGATAATTTCTTAAGTTTAACTGTTACAATAGTAGAAATAATTGTTACCATTGTAGCGAAATACTTTTATTAAATAAAAACTAAAATTAAAATATGCAGTGTGAATAGTATGAATATGAAAATACATATCGCTAGACATTAATGCAATTGATTTTATATTGGTTATAATAAAATGTTCAATAACAACTTTATTATTTTCATTATTGAGTTTTTTTCTCTTCTATTTTAGCTGATGTAGTATTTTTACATGAGTAACCCTCAATAAATATATATTTTTTGCCTTTTTATTAACACTTCAGTGTTTTCCAAATCTATATATTTTAGCATTAAATTTTTTTGCTCAAACCCATTATCAATAGAAAGACAACAAAAATATAAAACACAAAAGTTCACTATCATTTTTATGTTCTACTAGAAAATTATACCCAATTTTTTTTTTTTGGAAACTCAGCAATTAATATGCAAAAGTTATTTTTATACCTTTTTTCATATTTCTTTTATTTTGCATATAAAACATTTTTTTATTATTTTCAATTTATTTAACTGTGAACTGTGTTTTTTATGTGAATTTTAATTTAATAGCTCTTTTTTGTGAAGGTGCTAAATTGTCAAAAGTTGTCATTATGGAAAGGAAGTTGAAGGAAAAAAAGTGTAGAAAAATAATTAAAATTTCTAAGGGAAATTTTTGAAAAATTAATGGCCATATTGAATTGAAGTGAAAATAATTGTAGAAAGAAAAAATGTGAAAAAAGAAGAAAAAAACTGAAGTGGTTTTAATGTACTAAAATCTTTGTATAGGTGAGGGAATTAAAAAAACACTAAATTGACTTTTGATGTGAAATTGTTTTTATAAGAAAAAAAATATTTTTAAGTAATGAAACTAAAGAAGTTGTGACAATTAAAAGAATTAAATCTTTTTTAATAACTAACGATTATAAATGAATTAACTTACAAATAGTCCCAGGACTACTAAACGTATGATTGATATTTTATAATATATTTATTAATGTTAAACCAATTTAAACAAATATACAAATATAATATAACAAGATGAAAAACATAACACATAAATCCAAAAACACTTTACAAAGAAATTAATTTGTATAAATTTCAAATTAAAAATTATTTCATTTTCAGTAGTTCCTGGCAAAGATCCAGTTATAACTGGCATACGTTCACGCTATAAAGTGGGTGATATTGTCAGAGGCAACTGTACTTCTTCACATTCTAGACCGGCAGCGAATATAACATGGACCGTAAATGGTTATGAGGTAAGTTTAAGACAATATTTTTAAACATTCAAAAATCTAATATAAAATTTTAATATTTAAGTTTTAAAATATTATGGAAAATTTTAAATAAATTCCAAAATTTATGTACGCTTTCTTAACTAGAATTATACATATGAATTTATGGAAAGTTTAAATTTTCACTAAAACTAAATTTTATATGTGTTTTTGTTTGCTCTCATTTATTCATTTTTTTCGGTTAGAAATATAATTTGGTCAGTTATTGACCACAAATTATTGTCGGAACAACACAAGCAAAAACGAAATATTTTCCCATTTAAATAAAGCCCCTAAAAAAAGAGACCTAAACAAATACATATATTTGTTTGTGCAGCAACAAAAATGAAATCAAATAAATGAAAAACTTTTTAAAAAAGTAACAAATCATACATACAGAACAAGCACTTCAGATAAATAAAGAACAAAACAACAACAACTACAGCAAAAACCATGCTAAAATATATGTTCATATATGTACAAATACAGAGATATACATAAATTTTTGCCCAAGGATAAAGTTTTATTTAAGGGGAAAACAAGCATGCACAAACAAGGCTTATGGGGTCTCCCAGAATCTAAACATACCAGAAAACAAAAAAAAAACACATATACAAACACATTAAACAACCACATAAACTGGAAACATAAAACAAACAAAAATGTTTCCAAATTGACCAACTAAAAAAAGACAAAACAACGACTTTAGTAAGCAGACAGACAGACACACATATGGACCAGAAAAAAATATAATTTAATGTCCACTTAAGGAGTTTTTGTGTTGCTTAAAAATAGAGAAACGGAAACTACACATACATACATATGTATGTGTGAAAATTACACATACGCACAAAAGTATTTTTATAAAAACATAAACAATAATGTGGTTTAAATACCTCTACTACGTTCATTACAATGACATTAAAATAGCCAAAACAAAAAGAAAAAAAGCTATACAGGCAAGCAGGGTGAAAGACAGTGTAAAATTATATTGAGAAAAAAACAACAAAAAAACGTGGCAAATTAAAAGTCACATTACCCCAACACTTGCACTTACTAAACACACAAAAACTCAACACTTATGTAAACCCAGACTTGGACACGGACACACTTACACACTGAACATAAACATTTTACTTTTTTGTAAATTTTGTTTAAATGTTGCTGCTTTTGTTGTTGTTTCCTTTTTATGGTTTAGCATATGTTTAAAACAACACTCTTTCCAACACTTTGCTGCTATTGTTTTAACCACAAGTCCTGCTAGCCATTGTTAACATATGCTCCCAAGTGCAGACAAAGTTTTCAACGTGTATTTTTAATAATGAACGCATCTGTATGTTGTAGTTTTATGCCAACCAAAATTTCTTCAATTTTTTTCTGCGATCCTTTTTGCAACAATTATTTTTTGCTTTTGCTACTGCTGTCATGCTTAAGCATAGTTAAGGTTTTGTTGCCCTTTCTTTATGGGTAATTTGTGTCGCAATGTTTACTAAAACAGCATATTTTTGGTAATTTAAGGTACAATTACTGTGTATACGTTTTAAGAGCCAGCAACAAACATAATCATGTATGAGTGGTACTATATGGTGCAACAGTAAATATGATTTTTATATGGGTGTCTCCAAATAAAAAGTGATTAATTAGATGCAAAATTGTGGTAATTAAATCGCAAGATTTTAAAGTGCTTGTAATTGTCGTTTGTTTCAATCAGTTTTACTACTTGTGGATTTATTTTCAAATTGCTACAAGAAGCGATCTTATTGTTAGTAGTAGTAGTAGGAGGGCATGAATGAGCAAAGAATTCTTATATGGTTGCTTTTAATTTGTTTTGGTGTTTTCCAATTCATTCATAAGTAACAGGTTTGTGGGTCTTATTTTTGCTTTAAATTCATTACCAAATTTCATTGGACGGAGACAACTTGATCGAACCAGATGGTGATTCTGCTTTATATACAATACAAACATAAGCACAAATTCATTAAAAGTACTTTATATGTAGGCGTATGATTAACATCTAGTCAATAAGCATAATTTATTGTTCATACCTCATGCTGCTCAGTTCATAATACGAAATGATAAAAATTAAGTATTTTTTAAACTTTCTTTAAAGCAAACACCCACACAAATTCATTAAAAGTACTTAATATATAGGCGTATGATTCATTTCTAATAATCATGAATAATTTATTTTTCATACGTCATGATGTTCTTCAGTACATAATACCAATTGTTAAAATATGTAATTTTTTTTTTAATATTATTTAAAGTAAACACCCATATTATTCACTTAAAATAAACACAACAACAAATTTCGTAATAAAAATAATAAATATTTTGGCTTTACAAAGCATATTAACACAAATTCTCAACAAACTTCACAACAACAAAAATTGGCTAGTAATGCAGAAAAAGTTTAAATTTTGAAAAACAAAAATATTTGTTAATTATTACTTATGACATGCAAAATTAAAAGAGTTAAACTCTATAAGTTATAATGATTTTGTTTGAAAAAAGTTTTAAATTTAAGCAAATTAATAGAACTAAAAACGAAGTATTATTAAATAATGAATTATAGAAAAAAAACATAAACAAGTAAAAATAATTTAATCCAAAAAAATGTTAACTTCATAAGAAAAGCTATTATTTTATAGTGCTAAATATGTAAATTAAAATTTTATTGCATTTCATTTAACGGTAAGAAAATATTTTCAACATTTCACTTTGCACCTTGAATTATAGAAAAAAAACATAAACAAGTAAAAATAATTTAATCCAAAAAAATGTTAACTTCATAAGAAAAGCTATTATTTTATAGTGCTAAATATGTAAATTAAAATTTTATTGCATTTCATTTAACGGTAAGAAAATATTTTCAACATTTCACTTTGCACCTTAAGCAGCAACATAAAATTGACCCAGTTAACCTGTGTGAAATAAGGTTAAATTTAAAAGAAAAAATTGCAGGGAAATTTTTCCTTGCTTATTAAAACTATAAATTGATATCATTATGCATTTGCTTAGTTCTTTTATAATTAAAATAATTATTTATTTAATATATTTTTCTTGCTAATGTTAATGTAATTATTTTATCTACTTTCTACTTTTCTTCGTCTTCAACTTTTTAGACAAATCCCGCTCATATACGACACTTTAAACCCCATAAGGATCCACGTGAATTAGAAACTGTTATTTCTGCCATACATTTTGTCGTCACACCACAACACTTTATTTATGGCAAATTAAAGGTAAGTACCAAGAAAACTACATCTACACTTTTATGCATATATAAGTACTGAATAAAATGCTAGTAAAGAAAAAAAAACACGAAATAACTTTAACTATTATAATGACAAACTAGAAGACATTAAGGACTGGAATTTTTTGTTTTTATTAGTCTTCTTTTCGTAACCTACCTGTAGTAGTGGCAAGAGCATAAAAAGACTTATTTAAACACACCAGACATGTAAAACTTTTTTTCAAAAGATTTTGTCAACAATGAATGACAAAAAAGTGAAATTCTGGTAGAATATATAAACATTTCGGATCCTTTTAGGATTATAGTAGTTTAAAAAAAAATTCGAACAAAAATGTGGGATTTTGAACATAACCCCCTCTGATTTCAATGAAATTCGACAATCTGCGTGAAAAGTTCCATACGTCTGTCTGTCTGTGTGGCTAGGTTAGGTTTCCAACTTCAATGAAATTCGAAAACCTGTGGGATTTTGAACATAACCCCCTCTGATTTCAATGAAATTCGACAATCTGCGTGAAAAGTTCCATACGTCTGTCTGTCTGTGTGGCTAGGTTAGGTTTCCAACTTCAATGAAATTCGAAAACCTGCGTGAAAAGTTCCATAAGTCTGTCTGTCTGTGTGACTATCTGTTTGTCCATTCGTCCTCCCATCCGTCCATCAAATCCTTTTACTAGTGATTTTTTTGTTATTTAAAATAGAGACAATGTTCGTCTAATGTTTAAACAAACTAAAATATGATAAGGACTCCACGGAATTTCTTAAAATATGAAACTTTTAAATATAATAAACTTTTAAGAAATGACAAGATACCATTTAATATTAGTTTTTTAACAAAAAATTAATTAACTCTCTTAAAAAAAAACTGTTGCAAAATAATTGAAATTTATTTAAGAAAATTAAATTGTAAAATATCTTACACAAGGACCTAGACTATAATTAAAACCACATTGCTTTCACAACACTAGTTACACTGTTGTTCTTATGATTTTTAAAAAATTTAAATTATATAAAGTTTTAAATTTATGATACATAGACAGCAGCAGCAACAACAACAATAAATACAAACACCACAGCAAATGCTGTTGGTATTGTTTGCTCTGAAAAACAAGGAACACAAGGACAAAATAATAACTCTACTTAAATGGCTCGAAAGAGAAATGGGTATATAACTATTAGGCTGAGAATTTAGTATTAGAAAAAAATGTCCACTAATTGTTTGTTATTCTAACAACAAAACCATAATTTTTAGAGGATTTCATAAAACACAAACAAATAAACAAACAGAGCACAACACAAATGCTACAGAAAAGGCAACAGAAAAAGAAGACCGTTTTTGCTAATAGTCGGGGCACGTACAGTGCAACATTTTATGGTTAATTATTATTTTTGTTTTACTCCCTTTTTTGTATTTTCAATGACTTTATAGCGGTTTAACGTTCATATTTACCCACACACATACTTTCAAACACACATATGGTTTATGAGTATCATAAGCATCTTGTTGCTCTCAATTAAATGTATATACAGCTACACACACTTTCACACAATAATATACAGTCTTAAAACCATAGAAGGACATCTGATATCCTTTTTTCTTTCTCAGTTCCACTTTGTGTTTAACCACACTCATACATTTGTACATACATTCGTATACGCATTCACCAACACATTGAAGGCAACATTGAAGTGCCATAAAAAAGTGAAATATTTACCATATTAAATGTTGACTACTTGCAACACACACACACAACTGTCAACCTATTTGGTAATCAACATACACTCATACATACATATACACTATCAATGAGTTTTTTTAATGAGTTTATCTCCATTAAAATGTGGGTATGCGTTCGCATTAAAGTTGTTGGGCTGATATCTGTTAAATGATTAAAATTCTTTAAGTGGTCAAATTATAATTTTTATATTTTATACAACAACTACTATACAGTGTTTTTTTTTAATTTTCACATTCGTTCGCTCGCTGTTTGATATGCTGCATATAATGCATAAATGTATTAAATTATTTTAATATAAAATTTTTATTGTTTTCTTTGTTTATTGCAGATACGTTGCACTGCTTTTATACACGATGTTTATTGGAAATCAACAGAAAAATCCATAGAAGAAAATCGTTTAAATAAGGCTGGCTCTTCGAATGTGGTACACAAATTTTCCGAAGATTATTTCGATTTGGATGAGGATAACGTAGTCGATCGTTCAGATACCTATATGACACATATAAAAGGTAATTTATATTAGATTTATTTATACATATGTATGATATTTTTCTTTAAAAGTCTAAAACAGGTCCAACTAAATTTCAAATTAAAAGTTTTTCAAGCTTCTCAAGAGATATGATTGAACATTTCCAACTATATTTTAAAACTAGTTTAATCGTAATAAATTCCACAACATTAATGACTAAAACTTATCTGAACTAATTTTTTTGTAAATAAATTTAACATAATTCTTCCAGGTTTCTCATTTGTCTCCTGTATTGTCTTTTTTTCTATATATGTGAACAAATATCCTATTCATCAACTTGTTTTTCCTTTTTTTCACGGAAACACATGTTTATGGAAATATTTCATTTCTGTCAAATCTGGACGTCTTTTTTCTTGTACAATTTTCAAAAAGGAAATATGACGGAAATGTAAAAAAAATAATTTGTTAAAACTAACAAAAGACATGTGAAACTATAAATAGTATATCCGTCTGTATGTGTTTGTGTGTGAGTCAGAAATAAATACATTCTTTTTGAGATATTTCGTGCAAAGAAGAAAATGTAATAAACCGTAAGAGCAACAAGTTTTGTGAGAATGATAAAAACGAATGAAATAAATTAAAAGGGGGAAAACAAAATAATGGGAACAGTTAAGGTTTCATATGAGTTATATTACAGTTACTATATATCTGTTGGAAATGTTTCTTATATATAGCATGTATGTAAGATTTTGCACTAAAAAATATGTCATATTTTAGTTGTGTAATAAGTTATAAAGATAATGATATTATTTATAGTAGATAAGAAGTATTAATCAAGAAATTTGGCTAGTAATATTAAGATTGAAAGCCTTATTGAAAATAATACCAGTTGAAATGAAAATTACTTTTCATAACACTTTCTTTCAAAAATCGAAATTTTATATTTTTACAGTTGTTTTAAGCAAAATCCCTCAACAATATTCTTCATATATTTTTTTATTATTATAAAATAAATTTAAATTATAAACACATTTGCCCTAGTTCCATTTTACCTTCTTTCACACCTTTTTAGGTCAATTTATACAGACTTAATATTTTCTTCAAGAAAATAAAAATCATGCATAAATTTTTAATTAAAAAATAAAAATAAGAAAAAATCATTATTTTTTATTTGTTTCTTCTTTTTTGCATTTTTTAGGTGATGTTTCCTCGTTAAATGCTAGTGGCTGTTCAGCTTTACATAAATGTTCTTGCTTTTGGCCACGTTTAACAACACTCTCACTTGTAGTGTATGCCGTGCAACAAATGCTCCAATTATTGCAACAATTGTTAAGGCAAACTACAAGCAATACAGCAACAAAAACTGGCAATTGCCAAACAATGGAAAAACATACGAAAGCACAAATAAAAAAAGACAAAATTTTATTAAAAACAAAAACAATGACGACGACAACAGCAATGGCAATAAAACATATAGGAAGATCTTTAGCAACACAAGTGTCAACAATTTGCTATGAAAACAACATACCAGTCGAAGAGAACAAAGCAATAGAAAAATGTTGGCCCAAAGAAAAATATTTTGAAATAAAGTTAATCAAGAAAAAACATCTAAAACAAATACAACAAGTGCTACAGCTAAATGAAGAAAAATGGCAATTGCCAGCCAAATATGTACACACTTTAAGACAACTAGAACAATTGCAGTCACAATCGCAATCGCAAATGCAACTAGAGTGTGATAAAACTCTCTATGAGTCTGAGTATAATTTAACAATGACAACAACTCAAGTGGCAAATATTTTACCAGCCAACATTGTAACTTTAACGCTTGTCTTAAATTTTTTACAATATATTTTCTATAAAGTATTTGCAACACACCATAATTTATACGCACAATTTTGTACAACACCCCCAAATAACTGCTCTAATAGTTTGAATACCGCCACTTGTCTTAATACTCCTACAACAACTGGCAACTCAACATCAAAAGACTTTTTCGTAACTGTAAAAAAACAAACAACAACAGCAACAAAAATAACAATAACAACAACAACATGACTTGATTATATACATTGTAAAGTGGCTTAAAATTGCATGAAATTTATACATATTTTACATACAATAACAACAATAGCAACTATAGTATAACTAAAACTGAAAAATTTATTTTGTTTCACGAATTCTTATACATACATATATGCAGATACTCTCATACAAACAAACTTAAATAGTTTTTTTTTTTTTTTTTTTTTTTTTTTTTTTTTTGCAAACACACATACAAAATCTGTACACACAGAAAAAAAACATGATTGTGGTAATCATAATATTAGGATTATGTGTTTAGTCTAATCAAAGTAACTGTTCTCTGAAAATCAGATGGACATAATTATTACTTTATAGCAACAATCATTTATACTTACATTAGATCATATTCAATCGTGTTTTTTCTCTGTGTATATGTATATATGAGAAGTTTAAATTAGTTAAGGAAGTTAGTTTTCAAGATATGAAAAATTATTTACAAAATTAAATCATTCGATGAGTCAGCATTATGATATTTAAATTAATAATTTAATTTTTTAATTTTTAACTAGTATTTCCAGGATTTGTAAAATTTCCTGATTAAAAAGAGATTATTTACTTAGCAATTTGTAGTCCTTTCCAAATTTTCTCTCTTCAAATATGAAACACCCCCCCATATATTTTAAAAATGCACGTATACAGCATGTTTATGTTTTACATGTAGTTTTTCTTCTTTTACATTTCTGCATCAGTACATTTGTCTGTATATGTCTATAAAATACACTTGTTCTACAATATCATATGGAAGAAAAATTTGAGTTCTGTTGATTATTTTTTTTCTCGTTTTTTGTTATAAAAACAAAATGTTGCAACATTGTCGAAATAAAAAATTCTCTTTTTGTACACCGTGTTCGTTTATTTATTTCTTATCGTCGTTTTGTATATAAAACAGCCTTAAAGCGTTAATTTTCACTTTATTTTCTTTTTTAGTTTTAATATAGAGAACATAAGCACTTGTAAAGCGAATAAAAAATCAGATCAGTGTATAAATAATATAAAAATACAACGTATGTATATGCGAAATGGTTAATTTTGCTATTTTGCTTTAAATATATACAGTTAATTTCCCAAAATGTTAGGGTGTTGAAAAAAAATTCTGTTCTAGTTCAGTTCTAGTTCAGTTCTAGTTCAGTTCTAGTTCAGTTCTAGTTCAGTTCTAGTTCAGTTCTAGTTCAGTTTTCTAGTTCAGTTCTAGTTCAGTTCTAGTTCAGTTCTTAGTTCAGTTCTAGTTCAGTTCTAGTTCAGTTCTAGTTCAGTTCTAGTTCAGTCTAGTCAGTTCTAGTTCAGTTCTAGTCAGTTCTAGTTCAGTTCTAGTTCAGTTCTAGTTCAGTTCTAGTTCAGTTCTAGTTCCAGTTCTAGTTCAGTTCTAGTTCAGTTCTAGTTCAGTTCTAGTCAGTTCTTCTAGTTCAGTTCTAGTTCAGTTCTAGTTCAGTTCTAGTTCAGTTCTAGTTCAGTTCTAGTCAGTTTCTAGTTCAGTTCTAGTTCAGTTTCTAGTTCAGTTCTAGTTCAGTTCTAAGTTCAGTTCTAGTTCAGTCTAGTTCAGTTCTAGTTCAGTTCTAGTTCAGTTCTAGTTCAGTTCTAGTTCAGTTCTAGTTCAGTTTCTAGTTCAGTTCTAGTTCAGTTCTAGTTCAGTCTAGTTCAGTTCTAGTTCAGTTCTAGTTCAGTTCTAGTTCAGTTCTAGTTCAGTTCTAGTTCAGTTCTAGTTCAGTTCTAGTTCAGTTTCTAGTTCAGTTCTAGTTCAGTTCTAGTTCAGTTCTAGTTCAGTTCTAAGTTCCAGTCTAGTAGTTCTAGTCAGTTCTAGTTCAGTTCTAGTTCATTCTATTTCAGTTCTAGTTCAGTTTCTAAGTTCAGTTCTTAGTCAGTTCTAGTTCAGTTCTAGTTCAGTTCTAGTTCAGTTCTAGTTCAGTTCTAGTTTCAGTTCTAGTTCAGTTCTAGTTCAGTTCTAGTTTCAGTTCTAAGTTCTAGTTCAGTCTAGTGCAGTTCTAGTTCAGTTCTTAGTTCAGTTCGTTCAGTTCTAGTTCAGTTCTAGTTGCAGTTCTAGTTCAGTTCTAGGTCAGTTTCTAGTTCAGTTCTAGTTCAGTTTAGTTCTAGTTCAGTTCAGTTCTAGTTCAATTCTAGTTCAGTTCTACTTAATATGTATATTCTTTATAATTTTTTTGTAAATTGTACTATATTTTCGTGATATACATAAGCATTTTGTAGGTGTATAAATTAATTATGTTATTTTTCTAGCCCAAAAAATAATTTGAATGGAGTATCGCAATATTAATCAACTTTCCTTATTAACAAAGAATATTTTCGTATTGTAATCTAACAAAAGAGTTGTAACCTTTAAATGGTTTCTTACAAATAAGATTTATATTAGATAAACAATTCAGCCCAAAGGATATGAAATAATATATGTATAAACAAATATAAATTTAAAAATCAAAATAATAAGGACATGAATATTAAGTCCAACTTTTTCATAACGGAATAAGCTAATAATAAATAAGGTATTGTTATATATTTTATCATTTAAATTTAAAAAAATGCACTTTTATAACTTTAAGTATTAGTATTTCATGCAAAATATTTATTAAAAAATTTACCAGGCACTTTAAAAATTCTGTTGAAAAATTATGTAACTATTAGTTTTAATCTAGTAGTTTAACAAAAAAAAAAAAACTGTAAATATTTCACTTCAAAATACAAAAGCCCTTCAAAACATCCATTAAAACACTACAAAGTAGAAACTAATAATTGATTATCAGAAATTGTTTTAAAACAAACTATGTATGTTCAAATAATACTTGAACTTTAAAAATAAACTATAAAAATACACTTAAAAACATTGTTTAATACAAATAAAAAATAAAATGTAAAAACATTTTTAGTTTTTATGCTTATAAGTAAAAAAAATTCAAATATGCAGAAAAAATACATAAATTAAACATATAATAATTTACAAGTTCATTATGTATTTATTATTAAATAAAACACAAATACACATAAAAGTAAATAGAAAAAAATTATTTAAATTGTAAAATATAAATTAATGTTATTATTAACAATAAACGAATATCCAAAATTAGTATTACTAAAATAAATAAATAAATTAAAAGTGTTTATAGTTATTTAATAATAAATTGGTATTAGTGTAAAAAATTCATTACAAATACAACAAAAACACTAATACTAACAGTGTCAGCGAAAACATATTGGTCGCAAGTGGCATGTTATTTATTTATGGAATAAAATCAAAACTAGAGTTCAAGTTGATTATAAGATTGTAATTTTTCTTTATAAAAGAGAAAATAATTTATTTTATTTTATAAATAAGTAACATGTCATTTGTGACCAATATGTATTGACCGATGCTGTATATATGTATGAATACACTCAAAGAAATGATATGATTAGGTATTGAACATAATATCATTTTGACAACTAAAATTATGATTAAAGTAAAAACATTTATTCGATTTTTTTTTGTTTTAATGGTGGAATGGTTACTGCAACCATGCCTAAACATATTTTTTCTCTTTGTATATAAACTAGATACAATAACCATAGTTTATATTATATTAAGGTCGTTCATTAAAATTTTTTTCTTTAAAAAGTCTTTAACACTTTCGAACCCAGCGTTATTACTGTGACTTTCACTCTGAAAATTAAACAACAGATAGGAACTGTTTCACTAAATCAGATTTCATTCCGATTTAGTGAATTCATTCTGATTTCTTTCCTATTTATGGTGATAATAAATTTTCGAATTTTTTTCTATGTATATAAAATAAGGAAGAATAAGTTCATTCGCATTTGGTGCAATTGGCTGTTTTATATGACTTTTAAAAATCTAATAACTTCAACATATACTTATGAACATCCTTAAGCTAAAGCTATACATTGAAATATATATATATACTTAAATATGTATATAAAATTATATAAATTGTATACATTTTCATATATAATTATAAATACTTATTTAACAGAGTTATTTACACGCCAATAAAATAATTGTAGATATAAATAATTATTAATAAATATAATATGAGTATGTTAAAATATTTATTTTGTTTTTTTGCTAAAATTTACATATATAAACACATAAACAAACATTAATTGAAAGAGATTAGATACGAAATAAATCAAATGGTTAATCGACTTTAAACATCGATATTTACAATAGCCCTTGGCATTTAGGCAATTCACAACTAACATTGTATTGTTGTATGATAATAATACAAAAATTTCATTTTAAACAATGAAAAGTAAAAGGTTATAAAACTACTTAATAACATAATACAACACTAGTTGTGAATTGCCTAAATGTAAAATCCAACTGTTAGCATTACTACAAATACACACATACATACATATATAGTAAAAAATATATATATACAGCTGAATGTTATTCAAGAAAACAAAGTTAAATAATTATATTTAATTGAATCATCATTCCGTTAGTGAATTTGTAATAATTGCAACAAAGCGTTATAGTTTTAAGTCATATTATACATACATACCAACTTAAATATTTACATATGCATATGTATTTAATGTGAAAAAATGCGACAAAGAATATACAAGTGTATAGTTAAAAAAAAGAAAAAATAAAAAATAATTATAAACTTATATAATTATATTACATTTTGTCTTCATATTTGTTTAGTTAGCAATAAAGGTAAGTAGAAAAATGAATGCATATAACAAGGTAATGCCTACTAATCATACGCCTGTTGTGTGTATGGTTGATCTCAGATTCTTATAGGAATCGAACCCACAACCCTCAGACAGATAGACTCAGTTTCCAAATATGACTTCAAAATGTATAAACATACATATGTATGTATAGGGGTCAAATATCTGGCTTTGGGAGAATAAAATTTGAAACTATTGCCTTTATATGTATCATTAGTTTGTCCAGGTCTTCCAAGACAATTACAATTCAAGGTTTTCATTGAAAATCTTTAAAAAATTTTATTACTCTCGTCAACTTTACTACTTTCC